GAATGGTGTCTGGATGGCCCACCACTGTATTCATTTAGCCCACCGATTTATCTCTGCAGACACTTTTAAAACGCAGATTGATTGAGGGCTTAACATCAAAGGGGGAATTTCCTGGCACAGGCCCACGTTAAATGCAACTCTAAATCAATCAGTACCATTTGTCTTGTAATCCTTTCTAAGATTAGATGTGTCACTTGGTTTCTCTCGGCTGTTAACGGAGATAAAATGCTACTAGAGAGGGAGAATGAAAGTTTACTCTCTAGTGAATCTTATGTCAGACAGCCCTGCCCAGGGGGAACAGGGTGAGCCCACAGCAACACAATGCAGCATTTTCTTTGAGGGCCATGTGTCAAGTACTGATGACAAGTTGACACACTTCACAAGCTAATTGATACTATCACCACTACTACTGATAACTGCTATTATACTACTCATGCCCCACAGTCATGTTCTAGAATGTGCTTTAAAGAAGGATGTAAAAGGCAAAATGGATTTAAAATGATTACAGTAGCCTGTTCCAAAGTACTGGGACTCTCACAGCTCAACATCAGTCACCAGCCTCTTCGAGCTGGATATGGTTACTGGTCAGAGGCTAAAATGTGCAGTAGCCAGTGGACAGACCACGCAGCACCCTAGAAGTAAACACTAACACTTCCCCTGTTTAAGAAAGATATAATGGACATGGCATGCTATAGATACTATAGTTCTTTTAAAAATCCACCAGCTATATATTCAACTTTCTAAACTAACTATATTTAATGAAGCAAGAACTGAGGTGACCAAAATTAGAAGAGCTAAAGATAAAGAGAAGGCAGGATTTTAGTACATTGTCACCACTGCACCGTTTTGTGCCAGTATGGTGCAACATACTTGTTTTCAGAACAAACATTCTGGTTCATTTTGGCTGTGGGTTGCTTTAGCCTACATTTGAGATCATGCCTAAAGGCATAACAGACATACATTAGAATAATTCAGCACAATATTGTTTTGTAACCCCAATAAGAGACTCTCTGTTTGGCTCTCATGTGAGGAAGCAGGCCACACTGCAGCCACTTGAAACGTGAATGTGTGAGTGTGGCCCTTGCTGGGGTTAATGGCACGTGGCTGTTTTTCTGTCTCTAGTGCAGGGAGATGATATACCCCTAAATCCTGCATACACAGCTGGTGGTTGTCCCAGCATTTAAAATGGAAAAACAAGCAGAGATATGGATGGCAGTTCTGAAACCAGCCCCTCATCAGAGCAGTTAGTTTCTAAAATCTAAAGTTGGCATGTGGTGCATGTGGTTGTGCTCTGCAAGTATAAAGTAAAGTCTGGATAATTAGCTGCTTGCTCACTACAAGAGCTGGTGTTGCAGCAAGCACAATTCAGAATGTGTCTTAAACCAGATCAGACCAGATCAGACTGCTCAGCTGCCTCTACCTGTTGTGTAACAGGAATGGATGAAGGCACACTCTGTGACTTTAGCACAGTGGATGACAGCTTTTCAAAGGACTTCTTTCAGTATAAACAAGCTGAAGTGCAAGTGATAGATGGAACGGTAGTGCTGAAAGTCAGTTTTCTTTGATGCTAAAAGAAGCTTTCCCCTCATCAGCACAAACTCTGCTGCCTCAACAGCCACAGGCTTGCGTCCACATGCTCCATCTGTCTGCCTCTTTCTACCACCCCCCCTGTCCACTCCTTCC